GGTTTCTAAACAGTCAAGTGCACTAAAGCATGCTAGACGAGATCGCAGGAAGGTAAAGAGGCGGTGGTCCAACCCTGACCCGGCTCTGATGTGAGCGAGCAGGGCTCAGTAACAGAATCATTTGGGAAAACAGATGTTCGGCGAGCAACGGGCCCTGAACTCTCCGTAGAAGGTGTTTGTATGAGGAAATACAGTACTCCACTGAGAGAGTAAAGGCACTGCCTGTTGAAAGACACATGTTGGCCCGGTTCGTCAGTGTCTCATCAGCCTGCATGAATTGAAAACCCTCAGAAGAGCAGCGAGGGTCGAATCCACTACTACACAAACATCACAATGAGTTGTTATGGCTCGCTCGAGTGGAGCTAACGTCGCTACTGGGACCGCTACAAAGGGTGCCTTCAACAGCTTCACCTCAAAGCTCAACCCTCACACGACTGAACGGTTAAATCATTTCTGATAACCACTTCTGTTGTGGTGCCAAATGCTTTGACATCCAAAATGATCTGTAATGGTATGGGGAATGATCTGTGGAGTGATGATAATTCATCAAAGAAAGAGCTCCAAACCGGGAACACGTTATTTAACAGAGACAGGCTTTGATGTTGCAAAGATGAACATGCTTTAGCAATCCAAGTGTTATCATGAGAAGCTTAGATGGGAGTCATTACAGGGATTTGAAGGAAATAACAAGCTGCGATGGGACAGGTGGATTTCATGATCACAGGTGATTTCGGTGCACAGGTGTCTGCCAGGCCGATACGCGCAGCTGGAAATATTCCTACCGGTAGTAGCAGCAGCAAGGAGCTCAGCTCAGCTTTCAGAATTTTATTTCAATTCATGAGAATCAGCCAGACCAGGGAGGAAACAGAATCTGACCTGAACTCGAAATTGCAGGAAGAGGAGAAGCAATTCAAAGAAAATCCCTCTCGGTCATAAATCACAAGTTTCATTTAATGTGACCTCCGTCGCTGCCAGATACTGAAGAACTTTTCTTGGAATCTCTGAATTCCCCTAATCTGCTCAAGATGATTTCTCTGGGATTGAAATATGTTTATATGAGGATTAGACTACAATTAAGTAAATATGGGGTTTTGTAAAGATGTTTTATTTGAAATGGAAAGTTGCTTGTACTTGCATGCTTAGTATTAGCTACTACAAATAAGTGATTTATGCCTGACTGAAGAGTGAGTCAACTGAGTAAAGAAAGAAAGGCTGTAACCGTCAAGATTAAAAGAATACAGCTATCACTGCTTCTAAAGCCTATACATTTACAATTATATATCTTGTTTACCTTTTTAATAACCGTTTTAACCTTCATGTCTGTACACTTATTGTGCAGAGCAAGTACCTGATTAACTTAGCTTAGCATAGGAGGTGGAAGTTGGGAGTAATGGCCAGATTTTTCTTCATGAAGTGATCATTTATCAACATTTAGGAGGTGTTTGTAGGCAGATTTTTAAAACTTTGAACAGTACCAGGCTACCATGCTGGGCTAATTGTCTCCTGGCTGTAGCTTTATAGTTAGCCCACAGACATGACAATGGTGGTGAACTTTTCATCTCTCGTTCCGCAAAAGAAAGTGAGCCAAAATGTCAAACTACACCTGAAAAGAATAATAGTTTGATATCTACCAAACATGACAAAATATACTGTAAAATAAAAGGATGAGTCATTTGTATTTTAAGTCTTTCACTTCTACTCCCTTTGTCTACTCTGTGACACTTTTACGTCAATTCAAATGTGATTTAAACTTAAAAGCTCAACTGGAATCCATCGAGAATTTACAGTTCAGCCCCGAATGGAGCACATCCCCGGCCTCCCACCACGACCTCAAAAGCAACAGTAAGACGGGGAGCGAGTGGAAGCCTGGATTAAGCTGCATTGTGTACCTCGGGTCAGGAATCTCCCCCAGTATTTCTTCCAGGTTGTCTAGAAACTGGACAAAGTCAGACAGGCCTTTGACATGTTTCCTCAGTGGGTCGGACTCAGCTGGAGCGTAGCCCTTCCCTCCGAGCTGGATGGCCCTCACAAAAGATGTCACAGCCTGCAAAAGCATGAAAAAGACCCAAATGTTGCACCAGAGAGGATTACCCCGTAGTTTTGGTTTTTCTGGTGATGTAAAGTGTGAACACATCATCATGCCGGGTTTGGATGTTTCTTACCAAGAAGAGAGAAGTGTTGTCTTTGCGTGCAGCATGCTTTATGTCGGTAAATGCTTGTCGTCCAAGAGCGCGACTGGGTACGTCCAGGGTCAGCGCCAAGGCCATGTCGTTCTTGGAGTTCACGAGCAAATTCAGATAGGAGCAGAAAACCCTCCTCACTGCCCTTTTCATCTATAGATAATAAATGGAATAAACACGATTTTAGAACAACAACATTATCGTTTTAGGTTAGAAGGTTGTCTTCAATGGAGCTTGCCATGTTTCTACAGTAGCCCAGAAGGGACAGACCAAACACTGGCTCTAGGTAGGTTGGTTTTTCAACGCCACCGAAGCTCGTGCTTGGAAGGGAAGGGTGAAGCAAGGGAGTCACAATCTGCAACTACACTGCTAGATGCTGCTAAATCCTACACTTAATCGTGTTCGATATCACTCTCATGCCTGTCCACTAAAGATTCTCCACCAGAAAGCGAAGCAGCATATTTCCCAAAAAGTCAAAATAGTCCTTTAGTAAAACCTTTGGCTTGCAGCCAGTCCAGGTTGTGTTTATAAACTACCAAAAAAAAAAAAAAAAAAAAGGACAGTAGCTTTACTGCCTGAGTAAAAACAGCAGCTGACAGCCTGTATTAAACTTCAAAATATTACATCACTCTAGCTGGTAGAGCAGCAGCAAGCCTCTACTGAAAACCCATAAATTCACAAGTGACAGAGAAAAGTGGAGAAAAGAGACTCTGCTACAGAAGCTCCCCCACATTGTGTTGTGTTTTAAACATCTGCCTGGTAATTGAATTCACATTTCGCTCTTAAATCTAAAAGGGATGTGATATAGGAGTTCCTGTCAATAAGAGCAGGATGGATTCCAGACAGAAATTAAGCACGATGAAGACTGGGAAAGTAAATGCAGATTATTGCCAGCAGGAGAAAAAGCATTTCACTTTCCTGTAGAGGGCAAAGTGGAAAGAGGGGTTTGTTAAGGTCGGTTATGAAATAAGTTGCACTTTTTTTTTAAAATTAGTGTATGAAAGGAGGACCGGGCCTACCTGTGAGCTGCAGGGCCTGCTTTTACTAGATGGTGTTGATGGGACTGAGGAGCCTGGCAACTCTGAGACCTCCATGTTGCCCGATAAGAACTCAAACAGCTGGATCTTGGCAAAAGAATACAAAAAAAACAGAGATAAATTGATTCGTCTCTAACTTGGTAGCCAATCTGATCATCCACAATCAACATCATCAGCCTGATTTCAACCAGCTCTTGCTCACCGGGCTCACAGGCTCCTGTGGGTCCGAGTCCACTAGGCTCAGCTGTTTGTACATGGAGAGGATATCAACCAGGTCCACAGTGTTGGAGCACTTCAGGAAGGATTCGTATGCCTCCAGGATGAGATCATAGTTCTCCAAGCGTGCAAAGTTGGGGGGTGGCAGGTGAAGTTTGTCTAACAGTAAGTGTTTCCAGGCCATCAGGACATCACTCAGAGCCACTTTGAACTCTCCGCCGTGCTGTCACAGGAAGAGAGAAAACAGTGAAAGCAGCAGCCATAATTACAGACGGCCTGGAACCAATCAGTTCAAAAGCAGAAAGACCTTCTCCCACAGTCCAAAAATTGGGCCGTGAGTGGTCTCAGCCGGAAATCTGCGGTAATGTCATCAGTTATAGACGTGATGACGGTCAGCCTGATGGTTCAATTGAACTATGCCATGATGATGATGAGAATTTGGCTCGTGTGGCCTCGTTTGTGGGCCACCCAATAACTTACAGCAAAAAAAACTCAGAGAATATTGACCCGTTTTATTCCTGAGAGTATTTCAAACTCTTTTATTTGTTGGTTTACATCCCTTCGTTAAAAAGACCACTGATTGCATGGTTTTGTCAGCCTCTAAAATGCTCGGTTTACCTTGTTCATAGATTTATATGACTTGCACTTTTTGACGTAATGTGACTTTGTGGTGTTGGATATTGTTGGCCAGCTGTAGATTTTTTCATTTCCATTATTTCACATATCACATTTGTATTTTTAGACTTTTTTTTTACATTTTTTTTAAATGTGTGTGAATAAAACTGTTACCTGCTTATTAACTTCTGCCATGGCCAGCTGCAGCACCATCAGCATTTCATCAGCTCCTTGAATGGTGGTCCTCTCAGACTTCAAAACACCGTGGCACTCTCTCCTGAAGGTTTTAACCATCACCTTCAGATGGTCTCCCAAAGCCTCCATTTTCTCCTAAAGACAGCATGAAAGGGATTAACCAAGGCTTTACTGCAGAACGCCAACAAACAGCCACACACAACCCCACGTTTAAAAAGGAGCAAAATGAATGCATTTGAGATAAAAGTAAACACAATCATCTTTGAACAAGTTGCAACGAAGTCACTCTCGTTGGCCTGGGTGGCACAATGGCACCGAGATAACTTCACTTACAGCCACAATGTGTCTTTATAGCAGCTTTCACAAGATGCACACGTATAACTAAGAGTGCAACCTATGTTTAAGGCTACACAAAACATTTATTTAATGGTGCAAACCTCTAAGATTGTAGTAGCCTCCGAGAACACACGTCCAAGACGAAAAAAAAAAAAAAAAATAAGCAGCTGTTTTTAAAATTTTAAATTGCCGATGACGTTTATGCCTGTTGACCAATCAGCTTGTAGTAGCCAACAATGGGTGAGGTGCAATAAAAAAGTGTTTATCTCCGGCGTTATTTTGTCATAAGTTCGTGGTGGGATACTGGAAAGTGTCTTTTAGAGTAAGTTAATATCCGTAGCTCAACAATACGTCGATATACCGCGAAGTAACATAGATGTTTTTATTTACGTTGCTCGAAATCCCCCCCCTTCACGTGTGTGCCCGATGGTTCAGTCCACGTCGAACCCGGAACAAGCTTGAAAACATTTCAAACGCGCGCCCCATTTGAGTCAAAGAAACACTTGAAAACAAAGTGTTAAAGTACATCCCAATCGGAATAGACTCCTATAATCAACAGGTAATTATTATGTTGACAGCCTGAGCGTTACACGGTGAAACGGGCTATATAAAGGCTTGTTTAGGCTAATTGCTAACTAGCTGTGCGCTTCTATCTGAGCCAGCTTTATTTCCACACCATCTTTAAGTTCGGTTATTAAACGCTGTCTGGTGTAACAGTATGTCTGTTAATGTTAAATGCTAAATTCGGCAGCCGTGATCTACTTGGATCTGTACTGGTTCATTGTGAGGATATTGGTCTTATGCCTGCCTCTTATTTGGACCCATAGCTTTCAATGAAAATAAGTCTGCTAAATAAACATGCTTTGTGTGTTTGATGTGTGCCGAATTGAAGGGTGACCGATGTAGTTTGGTAAGAAATACCCACATTCTGCCCTGCTAGATATGCATGCCTCTGTACCTGCTATAATATATTAAACAGGCAGATTTTTGAATAGAATTTGGTTTGACGCTCCAAGCATGGCGAGAAATGTAGAGCACACTTTGTGAGGGTGTCTGATTTTAATGCCCTTTTACTTGAGCAGTCAAGTTTATGTCATATTGTGTTTTGAGCATATAGTATATTGTGATATTTATGTTATATAGTAAATAAAAGATGTTTGACTAAAATAACCAGACAGGAATTCAGCTAATTAATGAACTGACAATTAAAGGCACTGAACTTGCAAAAACCAATGGCTGTATATTGTTATATTATCAGTCTACCTGAGCTCAAGTTAATGCTTAATTATATTCAGTATCAACTGATTTATTTATTCATTTTTATTCTTTTTGTTTTCACAGTTCACAGCTCTGATCTGAAGCCAGCAGATACACAGCATGCAGGAGGACTCGAGCCGCAGTCCCAGTTACACGGTGGCGTGTGAGGACTACGTTCACGTGGTTGAATTCAGTCCTTTCAGCTCTGGCACCCCTGCCTCTCTCCTGGCCTACGGTGGAAACCAGTATGTGGTAGTGGGCACCTGCCTGTTCCAGGTTAGAGATGCAGCATCACACAACGTGGTTTAAGTACAGTAATGCCCAGTATATTCTTTTCTGAACACACACCTGTTCCCACAGGAGGAGGATATGGAGGTCGAGGGAGTTGAATTCAATGTTCTTCGAGCTTTCCATCATGAATTGCGCGTCGATGCTCTCGCCTGGAGCCCTGAGTCCCGGCTGGACAGGATACCCACTATCAGGTACTGCTAGTTTGATTCCAGCACCTTTTTGGTCTTTATTATGTTTCCACCAAACTGCATGGTGCAGGACAGTATGGGAGTGTCTGTCTGTCTGTCTGTCTGTCTGTCTGTCTGTCTGTGTCTCGACAGTTAACTCTGACTGTAGATTGAGTAGATTTTGAAGCACCTATCTGCATAAATTGTAAACTGGGGTTAGGCAGTATGTTGTTTCTGCATCAAAATTGTAGTCTGTGCACATGAAATGCAAATTAGTCCCAAAATGTCACACAAATAAGTACTAAAGGTCACTAGTGACTATTGTTAATCACAGTTTAGTACAAGGTGACTGACCAACAGCAGTCATTAGCATGCAACAAGGAAAGCCAGTTAAGTTTAAAGTTACTTTAAAATGAGTTAAGAGGCTGAAACCAAATGCCAAAATGAAAAAATTTTGTTTTGGATTTTAAAAGCTGCATAATTAAATAGTTATTTTGTCTTTTTAATATCGTTCAGCCTTTATAAACTGATTAATTTGGAACTTTCTTAGATTCCTTAAGTATAATGCTGGTGTTTCAGCATGTGATTACTGCAAATCACACATGCACAGGCCATACACAGTGACATAATCTCTAAGGGATCGTTTTTGCCCCAAGGCCACAACAAAATGTCTCTTCCGCAGCCCGAGTGCTCTAGTCTAGTTAGCTCAGGAGCTGCTCTTTAGTGTCATTAGTGCATAAACTGCTGCTTGGAAGTGTCCTGTAGGGGTTTAAATAAAAGGGCACTTGAGATTTGGCTTCTGAACAGCAACCTTGATAATGCAGGAGGCTGTTTCACTTTTCAGATGACAGATCCCAAATCTCAGTTGTTCCCACCATGTTACCATACAGCATCTGTTGTTAGCATCTTATTTGGCAGAAGCCTTTGTTAGCATCTTATTTGGCAGACACTTTTACTCACACACACACACACACACACACACACACACACACACACACACACACATGCATCTTTTGGGGGTCAGTGTCCTGTCAAGAACACTTTGACATGAGCAGGAATAACTAGGGATCAAACCACCAACCTTACATTTGATACCACTACAAACGTATTTGGTCATTAATCAGTTAAAGTAATGACCTTGTTAGGGTGTTTTTTAATATAAGATGAGGTTTATGGTGAGACATCTGAAGCTCTAGTGCTCTCCTGTTATGTAAGAGGTCACCAGACCATTGTAACACGATTAGGAGGCCATACTTCACTCCCAGTTCAGAAACCTGACATCTATGTCTTTAAATATAACAAGATGATTATTCACAAACACTCAAGACACAGTTGCAGAGAAAGCACAGCAGCCACTGCGCTGTGTGAAAGTAGTCTCTCACTGTCACACTACAGCTGCACAGCTGCCAGGATGTGAGCCAAGTTATTTCAGGTGGCCTTGGACAGGAGGGAAGAAGCCTAACTGTAGATTGTTAGAAAGCAAGAGTTTCCTCCTAATTGGAGCGGTGGATGGGAAGGTTCCGCGGTCCCTCCGGAGGTGTTTAAGCTTTCTGTAATTGAAAAGGAAAGGCAGCGATAATTCCTGGCCTTCTGTGGTTTACTCCACAGGGCCCTCGAGCCAGCCCTGTGACGTGCGCACATGTTATTGCGCTGATGACTACCCACTCAGGTTCCATCCCTCCCTTCGATCTGCACGTAGCCGTGCCTTCCAGGAAAAGTACAACATTCTCACGGGCTTGCCTCAAGCAGGGGCCCAGAGAGAGCGAGAGAGCGAGAGAGGGGAGGAGAGGGGAGGAGAGGAGAGGGGAGGAGAGGAGAGGAGAGGAGAGGAAAGGAAAGGAAAGGAAAGGGGGGTGCTCGAGCTGCAGTGCAGCCACCATCCACCACTGCAGCTTGTAATGAGAAGATTTGAAAATGACTGTATCCTGCAAAGACCAGACACCCTACACATGATAACTGACTACCACTAAATACACAGATTTTTTCTGTCTTTACAGTCAGAAAGTGGCACCTAAGGAACGGCTGAGTAAATACTGTTGGACTATACACTGAACCAACAGCTGAACTTTGTATTTTGGGAGGCATTTTGTGGCTTCATTAGAGAGTTGACAGTAATGAAATTTCAGGAAATGAGCACAAAGAGAGATCGAGAAAATGCAAATCATGATTGTTTTTTTTAAAACCCTTTGGCCCCCACAGGTGACAGACTGATGACAGTTTTGCATACTGGTGGCTGACTGGTTAGGAACATTGAATTTCCCAGTTGGATTCCAACCAGGGATTGTTAAATGTCATAGTCTTGTCTCTGTCTGTGTTTTCCTGTCTACTCTGCATCAGCTGTCCAAAAAACAGTGAAAAATGCCCCAAAATTATGCAAGCCAATTATTTCTAGATACAACCCCCCCCCCCCACCCCCATGTCATTTCAACAGTCTTTGCAATCTGCAGGTGTGCCTTGTCACACTTCATTTGATGCAGTCTAATAAAACAATAACACTCGGTACACGCTGCCTACTTTAGCAGCGCGTGACGAATACGGTGCTGAACGGCTGCGTCTGGCACACACACAGCGTTTACACCGACTGCGTGTCAGCTGCGTGTCTGCTGCAGAGCTGCTGCTGCTGCCAGACCTGTCTTTCTATACTAAGATTAAAGTAAAAGAAGATATGAATGGATTCTGCACACAGAAGCTTTTAATCTGAAAACAGATACAGGACGTGTTGAATTTGAAGAATACATTTAACTTTTTTTGCATGTCTGTGACATATTCTATAGATATAGACATTTGAACTATAGTGAAAGGTCTGAATGCTGCTGGCATATTGTCGATATGACAATGAACAGACCCTTTTCACTGTCCATTTTGCTGGGAACTGCACGCAACTCGAGACATGCAACTCAGTTGGGCAATTTAAACACTTTTTAGTTATGCCACAAAAACTCATAAAACCCACAATTTTTAGAATTCTTATTTCACAAACAAGATATAATGTGTTTATTTGTGAGTTTTAGTGGTGCTTGTAGGTTTCTAAAAGTTTGGATAGAGGAAGGCTATGTAACTCCCCTGTTTCCAGTCTTTGTGCTAAGCTAAGCTAACTGACTGCTGGCTGTCGCTCCAGTGGTGAGGGTATCAACAATGCCCTCATCTGCCTCACAAATAGGAATATTTCCCACAATGTTGAACTATTCCTTTAAAATCTTGCAGTGTGTCTAGCAAAAAAACTAAAATATTGTTAAAGTCAGCCTAAAGCTAATGTGTGATGTGCAATGGAAGATTGTTCGGGAAGAAAACAACACGCCAGGCTTCAGAAGTCAAATGTCTATACAACTGAAGAAGTTCCACACTTAAAGATCTTCCCTGTCTCCCAAAAAATTCACTCGAAGTTTGTGTTAACTTTGTGTTTTCAGGTCTCTGTTGAGGTGAACTTTGTGGTGATATCACATAGGAAAGGATAAACTCTAGTCTCTCACCTCTATCTTGTACTAAAACAACCACTCTGCTCGACAACAGCAAAGCTGAAATTGAGTTTCACTTCTAATAGTGACTTTTATTGTATTACACAAGATTACTGGACACCACTAAAGAAAATGGCTTTGACATTAAAGTAAAAACAGCAAAAAGAGCCAGAATATGTTCCATGCTTTACTCCAAAGTACAACACTAATTTGTAGGGTTAGAAGGCCTATCCTAATATAATCTAATCTACTATAGCAGTAATACCCTGAAGCACGTTAAGGGTGTTTGTAGTGACATCATGCCAAATCCATCTGTGCCTGCGACTGCAAATGTGTGAACCGCTGTCTGTTTATTCTGGTGATATGTGTGTGTTTTTCTTGTCATAAGTGAGTTAGTGTAATTGTGTGAATAATTGTAGGCACTGGTGTATACTACGACTGATTAGAGGGAAAGTCCTCTGCCTGGCTCTGCACAGGTTTCTGAGACATGCGTAAATGGCGTGAGGAATCTTGTTTTTCTCCCTGTTTATCTTAGCTTGCAATTAGAATCTCCCTGGCAGAGTTTCTACTGATCACTGTCCAAGTTTCTACCACACACACTGCAGCTCTCATCCAGAAGTGTCAGTCTAGGCGGCTGCAGGCATGCATGTAGAAAGAGATGTCGTCTGTCATTGGGTCTATACAGCCTGTCTCTGTTTTGATGTTCTCTCTTTGTTTGTTTTTATATCCTCTCGTTCTTTTCCTCTTCCTCTCTCTCTGCAGATTTTGCACTGCTGCAGCTGACAGAAAGCTACGCCTGCTGACTTCTGATCTTCAGGATAGACATGAAGTCAAGGTAGTCCAACATCTGGAGCACATTGGCCAGGACTGCGCTTGTCAGTCGGCATCAAACTTTCTTTACTTAGCACTGACATTCGGTACTTAGTGATACAGGAAATGTAGCCGTACACACAGAAAGCAGAGCTGCAGCCAGTGTAGTAAGCCCAAGTTTGCTAGAAGACGCTCATTTAACAGTTTATTGATCACGTGTTTGCTGTTTTTCTTTACATATTGTTTTTCTATACTGTTGCCTAGGTGATGGAGGGCCACAGCAGCTACATTAACCATTTGGTGTTCGAGCCCACAGAGGGGAAACAAATTGCTTCCGTCAGTGATGACCACACTTGCAGGTCCAAACCGTTTTATTTCCGGTGTGTGTGTGTGTGTGTGTGTGTGTGTGAGGGAGAGTGTGTGTGTGTTCCTAGCTTCTGATTTTCAGTTCTGTTCTCTGTTAATGGTGCAGAAAGTCCTGACTGTGTTTCCACAGTGAAACATGATGCTAAGCACAACATGCTCCGGTGTGACTGTGCGTAAGCACAGAGCTGCTTTGTAGCTTTTCTAGCTAATTGGTTAAATATGGAAATCCAATTAGCTGCAGAAAGATTTTCCTCTCTAAGGGGGACTTATAACGAGGTCCCAAAATTTTCCCTTTCAATTAATGCTAGAGGAGGGAAAAAGTGTGTCAGTAGCCAGGGTCACGTCAGGGACACCCCCCTCTACATCAGCAGGCTGGTTCTTCTGCAACATGCAAACCTGTGCTGCAGTACCAGGCCCTGTTCTTATATTGTTAATGTACAGTAAGTGTAGAAATTCTTCAATTTGAATACTTTTAGATTGGAACCAAAAGTTGCAGGCAGGTTAAGACCAGGGCTGCATGTAACAACTGTTTTCATTATTGATTAATCTGCCGATTGTCTAGTCAGTCAATTAATCGTTGTTAGAAAATAGTGGAAAATATGCATCACAGTTTCCCAGAGTCCAAGAATGACTTCTTCAAATGGCTTCTTCAGTCCAAAACCTCAAAACATTCAGTTAACAATAAAACACAACGTATTACAGAGAAAAGCAGCAAATCCTCACAATGCAAGAAGCTGGAACAAGAACAAACTTTAATGAAGATTATCAGAATTGTTGCAGTCAATCTGTGAAGACACGGGACAGAGTAAGGCAGAGTCATGATAAATAAAAAAATATACGCTTTTTTTTTGTTGTTGTACCGAGTAGAATGAGTCTGCCCCACTCCCATCCACTCTCCTCTTCCCCTGCCTCCGCTAACCGGCCAGAGAAAACAGGAGTGCGCTCCATCTGCTGAAAGATTTAAATTCTGTCATGTTGAGAAAATATGGGACGCGGGAGGAAGACAGAGGCGGAACAAGGGATAGATCAAGTTAACAGGAGAGGACCTTCCAGTCAGCCCACACAAACTGAGCCTCGATATGAGAGGAGTAAACCGGGAGGGAGAGAAGTGTATGCCGGCATGTATAGGCTCATGACCTCTCCATCACTCTGTTAGGTTTGGCAGCAGTGCCTCTACTATAAGTTTGCTTAGCTTTGTCATCACTGTCCCCTGCAGTTGTGGGAACTCTGCTGTTGCCAACATGCAACCCGATTCTGCAGCATCTAGGTGGGGAACCAGACTCCCCTCCCTCAGGGGAGTTTACATTTGGCCCATGTAGTCTAAACAGCTCATGCTATCAGTATAGCTGGAGTGAGGCGAGTCTGTGGGGAAATGTGCCACCTAGAGATCACAAGGGCACACTGCAGGATCCTGAGGGGATTTGTGCTTGACTGAGTTCGCAGATGAACTCGGGATAACGCACACCTGCTGCTGCATTATGTATATGGTTCAAAGCGTTTCGTCCTGTTCTCAGTGATAATCCGTTTGCTTTTCTCAATCTCTTCGGTTGTGTAAGGGGAACAAATTACAGCAGCCTGATATCTATGCTTCCAACCTATCTTCTGTCTTTTTTTGGACTGATGTACCCCCACAGCCCCTATCAGAGGAGCCCTAGTACCCCTTCAACTCTACGTGACATGTTTAATATGTTCTTATGAATATAAACTGGGTGTTATTTAACAGAAATTGGATATTGGTACGAACATTTGTTCACACAATGAAAGTGTTTAGTGGCAGAAGATGGATGTTTCAGCTATTTATTATCCATTACTTTTAGCTCTCTAATTCTTTCTCCTTTAGTTTGATCTATTTCAACATGTATCCATTCATTTGAGCTGTTTTTCTGTCTCAAATATTTACTTCTAGCTAGCATTATCTGTTTCAGCCATTGGCAGTTACTTTAATAGCCATTACTTTTAGCTATCTATTTCAGGCCTTAAGCTATCACTTTTAGTTCACTGTTTCAACTTTTCTGCTCGCTTGCGAAATCACACACTCTCAAACACGTGTTACAATGTGGTACATACTGTTCTGTCAGCCTAGCTTTGCCAGCTTACTGGTTATTGTAAATATACTAAAGACCGGCATCTCCATAATCTTTCCACATATTCCCTGGTAACTACAGCGCTATAAGTAGCCTATCTCAGCCAACCCAATACACAAACACTACAAACGCGTTGAATGTTTTCAATTACAGTTAAAGTATTAGACTTTTAAAAACAGATAATGTTATTCTGTCAAAATCAAATATTCCTGTGGAAATAGATGCTGATGCAGATGCTTGTGCACCCCAACCAGGGCGACCCCGAGGCACTGTAATGGGATTATGTTCTTCGACTCTTCCAGTTCTCTCCCCCCAGAGAGTCACCTTTTGATTATTTACTCTGCGCTCTACAATAAATCAGATCACACAGCGCTAGCGGCATTTCCCGTTTCCTCCACTTATGGGAAACATTGACAAACCGTAATGCTCTGGCCACGCCGTTTTCTCACTTAGATAACACAATACAGGACTTTAGATGTCCTTTTCAACTCTGTTGTACATGGAAGCGAAGTGTTATTGCTTGATGTAGTGTTATGCAATTACACAGTGTTTTATCAGAGGCGGTCACGCGTGTTTTCGTGTCTCATGTCTTTCACCTCGTTTGGAAAAGGTTATGTTTTTTTGGGGAGCCGGTGCTCTCCATTTGAAGGGCAGAGTGGTTGACCACAGTTTGGCCGTTGGTGGTGTAGCGTGCAATTGAGCTCTGCTTGGCTAGTGGTCTGAAAGAATAGGGTTTAGTCGTTGTTTTCCTGGTGTGGTCTGGGGGTTTTTTTTTTTTTTTTTTTCTTCTCCTCAGCCTCACTCATGCTCCACCGTGGAGGCTCTGGCTGGGTCTGCACATGGGCAAAGGAAAGAAACCCAGAGTTTCGACAGGGCTCTATCCTGCTGCAGGGGAGATGAGACAGGAAAAGTTGAGTGTTTACTGAGGTCTTCATCTGAGACAGGGCATATCCTCCCCTACACCGCACCACTGAGGACATCAATCTCTCCAACAACACACTTGACATTTAGATGGTCTTTGGAGGTACTTTTTGGGCTTTATTAGATGATGTCTTTTGCATGACCTCATCAGTCAGCGCCTTCCCATGCTTCACAAGCGTTTGTTTTATATTCCCAGAAACACTTGCAGCCTCCCACCCCCCCCCACCCCAATGCCCCCGTCCCCACCTTTTCTTCTAGTTCAGGGATCGTTCAGATGTGGTTAACCATAGATCCAGGTCTCTGGACCCGCAGTTCTCTCCATCCAAGTGATCCATTACATCCGTGGTGTTTCTCAGCTGCTTTTGCGATCATAGGTCTTATTTAGCTTCAGAATCGACTATTATTTAAATGAAGGCTGGTCATAATCCTCACACAAGCTTTAATTCGTGGTTGGCGTTTGCTTGCAAGACCCCTTTTGTTTTGATTTGCCTAAAGTCGGATGCTGTTCAACTTCTCTCCGCTGCTCTTCCTCAACTGACGTGCATTCTGTTGCCCTCTCTGTACTCCACAGAAAATGAATGGCAGTGGGCCGCCCACAGCGAAACATTTGCTGTAATGTGAGTGGAGCGTAACGCCGACTCAGGCAAGGGTGATGTCCCCCTCCCCCCTCCTCCCCACCTCGACCCTTCCCCTGCTCAATGTAATGTGAAGCTGGCGTTTTCCCTGAAAGAGGAGTCCTGCATAAGTCTGTCTGTCTTCACAGCTCAGGGCCCAGATCTGAGAAAAGAGCCCTTTTTCTCTGGAAAAGCATGAAGACTGTGTACATCACAACCAGCGGGAGTTAGATAAATGAGGAGCAAACATGAACTTGGAGGAAAACTTGTCGTCTATCATTGCCCACATTGTGTGCCATAAGAGCCTGATGGTGTGTCTTGTATTGAGCAACAAATTTACGGAAAAGTCGAGGTGGAATTCTGCTAAAAAAGCATCAGAAGAAGAAACTAAATGCCTTTGTTAAACAATATGTTTGCATACGGTAATGGGGGAATAATGTACGTGTTATACATTTAGGCCATCTGGACAATGAACTATTTTGTTTTAGATCAAGCACCACAAAGTAAACCACAAAGAAACCTTGGAAAGAGAATTATTTCAGATATTATGTAAGCATCCAGCGGTGGCTCAAATACCAATGCTATTTTTGGAACTGCTCTAAAACCCCATCTTTGTTGTTAATTAGGAGGTAGTGGATTTTGTTTTGGATTTTAGGCCAAGAGCGGTTCACATATCAAGTTGAATCAATCCGTAACATTACTAATGAGAACTGATTAAAACTCCTGTGTTTGCTACCCCCTTCACAATAACCTGAGAACTATGTGGGTTTTTGCAAAGAATTCTCACAACTCATAGTTAGACTTATAAAACTTGAGTTTATGTTTGTACCAATAGCCAAAAACAAACTACGTCATACAAAGTATCACTCGTCAATCGTATTTTATTACTCATCTTAATTTATCTTGACCTTAAAAAATAGGGTGTGGGACCTGGATGGAAATGAAAGCACTACTCTCAGACTTCGCTCTCCTGGCATCAGTGTGTGCTGGCACCCAGAGGAAGCCTTTAAGGTAGGGTTTTTTTATTTTTGTTTTTTTAGATACATGCTCATATTCTGAGGTCTGGAGTTAGTCGTCTATATGCAGCTACATACTGTAGACCTATCACCTTGTCAGGTGCAAGGTCAGATCAACTGGAACATGTAACTTTACGTTAGTGTCTCAGTGTTTTTGTGTAAATCCAAGAGGCCCTTCGATGACAGGCCAGGTGATGGAGCTCCATCAGCTCACCTTTTGTGGGAAGGTTGTAGCTCCTTGTTTTTCATAATTGCCCTCCCATGCTCCGGACCTCATTCAAGTGTCCTTCTTGCCATCCAAAAAAACCTGATAACTGTGTTAGTGGTCAAAGGAATCCAATTAATATTTAGGATCCAACCATAAAAAGGAAATTACACTGTGAAATATCCTCTAATGAAACATTATCTAGTAGATGTTTGTTCTAAAGGCAGGGGTATGCTCAGAAGAAACTAGTCCGACCATGTCTGAAAGTGTTTTTATCGATGTGTTTTCATTACCTTAGAATGAGCCATTTTTATCTTTAGGTCGCCTTCCATGGAGTCCATGGATTCTAGCAACATAAACTACAAATATTGGTTTCAATCTGTCCTCTCCAGTTAATGGTGGCAGAGAAGAAAGGAACAATTCGTTTCTATGACCTTGTGACGCAGCAGGCCATTCTGTCACTGGACTGTGGTCAGTCCCCGCTCATGTCAGCTGACTGGTGCCTCACCAACACGATCAAAGTCGGTGCTGTGGCGGGAAACGACTGGCTCATCTGGGACATAACTCGCTCCAGGTGACCGGGGGGTGCCTGGGTAATACACTATTGATGATGCATGAAGTATTGATTTTGGATAGGATGGGATGTGCCTTTAAAAAAACATGTTTGTATTCTTTGCAGTTACCCACAGGAAAAAAGACCTGCACACATAGATAAAGCACGGTTATTCAAGTAAGAACATCTTTTTTTTTAATAGTTGTAAGGCTTATTGTTTTTAGTTTTTTGCCAATTTATGACCTCATGCACCGAAAACTTGCCAATTGAGGGAATCGGCAAGCTTTGGGTGCACGTAGATAAAACATCCACGTATGGATTTGTATTGATTTCTTCTTTCTTCTTCTTCTTCTTCTTCTTCTTCTTCTTCTTCTTCTTCTTCTTCTTCTTCTTCTTCTTCTTCTTCTTCTTCTTCTTCTTCTTCTTCTTCTTCTTCTTCTTCTTCTTCTTCTTCTTCTTCTTCTTCTTCTTCTTCTTCTTCTTCTTCTTCTTCTTCTTCTTCTTCTTCCTCTATGCAAGTGTAATTGTGTGATGACATATAAAGAGATTTTTGATACACCTCCTCAGGTGGTCTCGAGCCAATGAAAACCTCTTTGCCACGACCGGATGTCCAGGAAAGATCTGTAGTCAGTTACTCATCCACCATCTTGGCCACCCACAGGTCAGTCAGATGCTTTTCACAGTCCAGATTGTTATCATTTTAATGTTCTCTACAGCTCCAGTCTCATATCACATACTGATATCGTTGCAGCCGGTGATGATCGGATCCACCGCAGTGGGATCCGGCCTCAGCTGGCACCGGACACTCCCGCTCTGTGTGATTGGCGGGGACAGGAAACTTTGCTTTTGGATGACTGAAATGTAGACAACTGTACAGCACTTATCCAGGATGGATAACTAGGTCCTGTGTTTTCTATTCTAGTAAATGTTCAATAAAATATTTTTCTGAATATCTGCAGTTTGTATGAAATTTGATAGAAATTGGCTGCGTGTTTGAGCTTTGTTCTTTTTTTTTTTTTAAATCTCTGACTACTCCTTCAGGTAAGCTACAGATAAACAGCAGGCCGGTTGGGTCTCTGCGAAGAGCTCGTTTTTCTTTTCTCTTAAGAGTAAGTTACATCAGCTGTCTGTTATGTCCTGCCAAGAGAGCTGTAGTTCAAAGGAATGCATCAAGGAATCGGTGCCAACTCTCCACTTCACCAGTCAACATGATCATCATAGCGCAGGTGTTCTCTCTCTGACTGTTTCTCAATTTTCTCAGACTGAATCATATCAAGAATATATTTTTGTATGGACTGTTACACCTGCTGTGGTGCGCTGAAAATCCACAGGAAGGTTTTGGATGAGGAAAAACTAGGAGGTCTGGCCGTGTTCCAGCTATTGGTCAAACCCTACAGGGGGGAGGCGGTTGTAGGGGTTAGGATTAGAAATCGTAGGAAAGGCTTTGGGAAGCATGGGAGTCTGGGGCCATTTCAGGTCATCTCCAACTCCATGACATGCAAAACAAGCGGTTCATGAGGAGGCAGGGAGAGAAAGGGATGCGCATCACCTTACCTTGGCGAATAATTATCAATGCTCCACAGACCAAACATGGAAGACGGGGGATCATTTGGCAGAAACTTGCAATGCCCTCCGGTTAAACAAGGACTTATTGTACTGTCACAGGAATGCCATGTGTGAAGCACCACCATCTCCATTTTCAAGGCAGCCATACACCCTCTAAGCTGCAGAGGGCACTCATTTAATTAACTTGATCATGAATCATTCTAGATGACAGCTGATCACTTGTTTCCACAGATGTACTTAATCTTCAAGGGTGCAGCATTGGATAAATGTGCGTTCATACTCGGGTGCCTAACAGAGCCGTTTATTGTACTTTTATTAATGTATATGTCAGCTGAAACACTAGGTTGTATTGTACCACGATGCTTCTGCACGACAGAGCGGAGTGAGCAGAGGCCGTGGAGACCTCCACTCTTTCAAACCAGTTCGTCAACCTTGTATATTTCTTGGACAGGACGCGTTAACCGCCATCCACAAAGAATAACATGCTACTGCTCTCCTGGTCCACGCTTTTGTTTGAACAAGTCCAATGTGGTCTCCACTCTCTACGTTCGCTGTGCTTTAGGTGCAAGTGGTGCTGGAGCAGCTGCATATAACACAAGAGATTTCAGTGTCAATGGATGCAAGAAGCTGCCATTTTCATCCATGCACACTGAATGTTTTCCAAAGAGTATAAAAGCTCCCTTAGAGGGCACTGGAATTGCCAACTGAGCCACTTTCCTCTGAAACATGAGTCATGAATCTCTGGCTTTACAAATCCCAGTGACTCAAGGACACCATCTGATGGCTGGTCAGCAGAATAGCATCCAGATTTAATTCCATCTTGTCTGTGAGCTGATTTCTACAACATATGATCCATCTTGGAGATCTTACAAGCTCACCTCTTTCCTGAAAGCACGTCCTCAGATGTCACTGCCCCAGGCCGCCATGTTACCTTTGATGTAACCTGAATGAAGCTATTATGCCTCACAAACAGTTTGATCTCTTGTGGTGTGTAGACTAATAACAAACTGAAATGGATGAAAGAGAGATCAGAACGCCTTAAAATCTTCCCCAACTTTCTCCTAATCTCCGCCCTCAGATAATTCTTCTGTGGCCCTGCCAACTTTAAGCCCGGGCTCAACAAAAAGAGAGCAAATAAAAATAATGAGGAGCATGATATGAAGGGAAACAAAGTAAGAGATTAGAGCTCTTTGAGGCCGGTGTTTGATTTAATCTCACGGCTGGTTTGTTGTTCAATGCTTTCCCAGAATGGAGTGATTATGTTGATCTTGATGAGTAGATGTCCATTGAAAAGTGCTTCATCTCTACTTTTGAGTGGAGTTTGTTGATCATCTAAACTGGTGTGTTGTGTGTGTGTTGTGTGTGTGACAACTGCAAGGCAAAAGATGGTTTGTTAATGGTTAATACACTATTTATTCAAAGCTTTATAATTTAGGCATAAGTCATTAAAAATGTTTGGGTGGCAAAGTGTTATTCTCTTCCAGCAAGATACTTTTTATCCCTTCAATAGACTGTTTGATAACGTGCTACAGAGCGTCTGAACTGAAAGTCCATTAACATTTGGACTATTATAAGAACCCTTTATCTGTATTTGAAGTTGCAGATGACTTAGAAACTACAGACTTATTAGAAGGTGGAACTCATGACCCATTATTGGCTTTTTAACATTTACAACTGCAGACTTGACGGCCAATTAGAAAGTGAGAAACCCGTAAGCATTTGTTATTTGTGGTTCATCAAAGGAGTTAAAGGAACTTAAAAGCTACCTAACAAGACAAAGCAAGTATCAGGCTGTAGGACAGTAATAAAACCAGCCAACCAGAACATTTGGCGGTGTACGCTTTCTTCTGCTTTCTTTCCAAGAGAGATTAAAAAAACCCAACTCATGTCAATGCAGACCTGCAGGCTAGCCTGGCCCTAAAGTGAAAAACATACCTACCAAATACTTCTTAAGCTGACTAATTAACACCTTGTATCTCGTTCAACCCATGCATAAACAGAAAGGAGCAATTATTAAGCAATATTAATGACTTAATAACATCACCATCCTTTTCCAGACAGATTTTCTTGATAAAATAACAGTTTGTTCTACATTTTGTGAAATATTTGCTTTCTTTCCAAGACTTAAGAGAGATAAGAAGAAGTGCAGAGCCGGGATCAGGACGACTTTAGCCTAGCTTAGCATAATACAGGAAGCAAGAGGAAACAGCTAGCCTGGCTTTGCACAAAGTGAAAAAACACACCTACCAATGCCAATACCTCTTTCTTAGTTATTCCTCTTTGTCTCCTGTGGGGGACATAATGCTACAAGGAGCTCCCTCCATCATTGCTTATGCTTGGCCAAATGTTGAGCCTCAGCCCCCTGGCTAACTAGCTGGCTTGTCAGTCCCAGGGCTGTGCCAGGTCACTGTGGTCTTCCAAGTTTTCTTTTGCCCAGAGGAGTCCATCTCAGAACAACCTCTGGATCTGCCTGCATTCAAAGCACAGCCATCCCAGTCTCCTCTGCTCTTATTTCAGTGACGATGTTTTTTTCTGTCTGAATAGTTCAAAAGTTGTGATCTTTTTAGGCCAGAAGATGCCGATAAACATCTCAGGCAAAGTTGTGGATTCCTTCAACCCCTTTTCATATGGCATTGGTCTCTCACCAGCATTCAGAACAGTAGAATGACGATGTTATTTTACGATGTTATTTTATACTTCTAGATGTTGCAGCGTCAGGAAAGTTTGTCCAGGGCTTTCCCCAACCGTGCCTTAATCTATTTGGCCTGATGTCCACCTTGAATTGCAATTATTTTACCAGGACATAAACAAAATGTTGCCAAGAGATTTTTTGTGAAGAGGTTGTTCCAGCACCTAAATTGTGGTTTTTAAATTTCTCTTTCTGTATGAATTAAACAAATACCTCATTTGTTGTGTTTATCAGTCAGCGTTAGAGGTGTTGGTTGGCAGATTGTCTTACTTTGAAGAGGGCCAGGCCTGTTGTTTCTGATCCCATCTGTACTTAATGCTCAGACGTGAGATTGGCATGCCTCTTCTCGCCTATTCCAAAAGTGAGCTGTCCCTTTGATAGCTTATAAATGATCCATAAACCATTGGTAAACAATTTGTTAGCTATTTATTCTCCATCAGGCCTTAAATCACCAGAATCACTCATATCTTGTGGAGTATCTTTCTTTTGTGTTCTCAGGCCTGAGGACAAAATGAACCTCCTGACCCTGTTTCCAGCCCGGAGGAGGCAACCACGCCAGCGTGGGGATGGGATGGCCCTGACATCAATAAAGGAAACACTTATGGTTGGAGTCAGGATGATACAGCATTTGGGATTTACGGTGGGTACGCGAGGCACAAGAATCTAGCTGGATCCCTCACTGGTCACCCTGTTGCTGCGGCAACCCCGCTTTTGTTTAGCGCTCAGCAGATTTGGATCCTGGCAGTGGTTTTACAGGGATTTGTGGATTTGAGGGCGCTGGATGTAGAATGAGATACAAGAAATTATAAAGTGACTTTTGCTTGGAGAGTGTGCATGCATGCATGTGTGTGTCCCTGCACACTTGTCAAGCAGTAGATCACTCTTTCCCTCCACTTGCTTCATCCCCCTCTCTCTTGCACTTCACACACAATTTTTTCTACTCCACAAACACAGGGTTTCCTAGGGAGGCCGGAGCAGGGCTTGATTTACTGTACAGTGGAATTATGGGAAGGGAAAGCTTCCCAACACAAGGTGGCCGAAGGGAGGGTTTGCCAGCCACCGTGTTGATGGTGCTGATGCTTTATGAGTCCTGCAGATGGAGATGATTTGTCTTTTTCAAGGGAAAAGCTTTGACGTGCGTGGCTCTGATATGCATTGTCGCCTGTGTGGAGATCAAAACGCTGGATGTCTGTCAAAAACCTCCGTAGGCCAAATTCTCCAGTCGCACGGAGAAAGAGAAATAAAGAGAGAAGAGCATCTGTCAGCAGTGCAGCCCTGCGGACCGTGCTGTGGTCGACTGTGAGGTCCCGGTGACCTGGCCCCTACTGATGTGCTGGGCCTCAGTGCTGGCTCTGGCCTTGACCAGCTGAGGGAACATGATACTTAAATCATTCATAATTAGCTCCTTCCCTTTGCTTAATAACACATGAAGATAAATTGGTTCCAAGACTTTTTCCAAATGGAAATAGTTGGTTTGGAATTAAAAGCTAGAAAATGGCCTACAAGTCCTGTATTGTAGTGGTTCACTCTCTCTTATTCCTCCTGCTGGCAAACCCTGGACTTCTCTCTTCAGCTTATTTTCTATCTTTTCTGTCTCTTTGGAATGAAAAACACTGACATTTCTTCATGAAAATAAACGTTTATTTCTTTTTACATAATCTTCACATGATACATTATACACAAACACCCTGTGGA